GGTACGTAAGAACCCCTTCGTAGAAGTAGCATTGCTCATAGTTTTGATATGGATTTTTTTTGTTGATTGTTGATTTTTTTTTTTTGATAGCTAAGCAATCATATCAAACGGTGGTTTCTTCTCCTTTTGAAGTAGTAAGAAAGTATAGGTGACTGTTTCAAAGTTGTTTGCACCCAGGTCTTGATCGATAAAGCTAAGGTCGATCATTGTCTTGACCGTCGCACTCGTGTGCCATTTCAGAGAGGGCATTAGCCGGTAGGTATATCTTTGGACGAGATATTCCGTGCTAATGGCATCGCCAAGCTATTCCGTATGCTCCCCTAAAAAAAAGCTATTCCATATGCATCGTGCAAACTTACTCGATCAACATAAAAAAGGTGAAAGCAGCCGTCGTGCAAAAATGTACTATGTGTGCATATATGTGTGATGGACGTAGAGCGCGTGCGTGCAACTTGGTTCGATCTATCGGGAGTGGCGCGTCCACGTACGCGCCGACAGGGACAGCAACTCAATCGGCATCTGGCACGCGCGTGCGACAGTGAAAGCCAAGCTAGGCGCACACACGCTCGCTTGGGCAGCTAGCGATGACTCCAAAGTTGCCATCGATTGATCCATCCCCCACTGCAGTTATAGACATTCATTTTTTTTAACTTTTTACCTCTTTTTTTTTGCGGGGGTAATAGACATTCATACACCAACAGACCGAAAAAGCATCAAATCGCGGCCGATTTGCTTGGATCCGTATATATATTATTCGCTGCCGCTATCCCGAATCAAGTGGCTGAAGCCGATCTCATCCGTCCGCGCGCGAGGCGATAAAAAAGATCTGGCTAGCTCCGTCAATGATGTCAATTTCAGATACTGGTCCATTCACAAGATCATCTCTCAGGTGTTATTCTTGTCTACTGTAGCGACATCGTTTTCTTGACTTCGTCAGCGGCCAGACGACAAGCAACAACCAAGCGATCATGTGATCCATCGATCTTGATGCGCAGCCTGATACAGTAACATAATTTAATTATTGACCTGCCGGAATGTGATTGGCAATGATTGAGGCCGGCAAACTATTTCCTTTTCAACTGTGCTTCCGACCAGTCAGATGGTGCTATCTCACGGGACGGGACGCATATATACAACCAATAAGAGCAACTTCAACGCAGGAACCAAAAAGACATGGATTTTATCAGTTTTTTGTCTGTTTGAATCGCCGCCCGTGCACGCAGTGGACACGTGAGAACAATGGATACACCCAATGTAAAGACATGCGGCAGCCCATTTGCTGCCTCTGCGGCTGATTCTGCCGGCGAAGCAAGCGCCCGTGCAGCTCGAGCAGGAAGCAGTGGGGCTAGAGTGGCCGGGTGTGGCCGGGCGCGCCCTGGAGCACGGCCAGAAGCTCGAGAGCGGGTGCGGCCAGGAGCACCTAGGAGCGCGGTTGGGCGCTCGAGAGCAGGCGCGGCCAGAAGCTCGAGAGCGGGCGTGGCCAGGGGCGCGACCGGGCACGCGGCAAGGCGAGCGCGGGGGGTAGGCGGGAGCGGCGAGCTCCAATGCGGAGACGCGCTGGCGGGGCCGGCAGGCCGGGCGCGCGTGCATGGCGGGGCCGGCGCGGCGAGCTCTGCGAGTTGGACTGCAGGATGCGCTGGCGGGGCCGATAGGCCGGCGCTGCTCCAGCTCTGAAGCGGGGTGGGCAGGTGGGTGGGAGAAGAGAGAGAAAAAGGAGGAGAGAGATGGGATGGGACGAGTGGGTGGATGGCAAATGGGTCAAGCGGCACATGCAGCCAAGAGGGCACAGAGAATGTTCGCTTTGTGTCCGTCTCTGACGCAAATATGCCTCAAATTTGGGCCGGATATTGGTCGAACGGACACAAAACGAACAGCAGGCGGACGCTGTATCCTTTTTGGGTCGTCCCGTTGGACCATGTTTTGTGTCTGAATGACCCAAACGGATAAAATCGGTCATCCGATTGGAGTTGCTCTAAGAGCATAAACAGGAATGTACAAAAGCGTTCCCTAGTTACTCAACACTTTCTTTCATTGAAAACATGTGGTAGGTACAACTTGTTAGATATAATTCCTTAGGATTAACTTAACACATGATTTTAATCTCGTGATTAGAACACCTTTTATGCGAAATAGTAGTGACTAATCGTGATTGGCAGGGACCTGTAGAAGATAGCCCATGGCTGCACGTTGGAGTCTCCGGCAGTGAAGACATGGTCGGGGAAGAAGGGCAGCGCCACCTGGATGACATAGATGGCTGCAGGAAGCATCACTGACATTTTTTTTTGAAACAGAGGCAAAAGTTTTGCCCCATCGATTAATTAAGAAGAAGAAGAGAATTGACCAGTTAATTAACGGAAAACCGGGCGAAAAACAATACAAACGAAGGACGGACTAACTACTCACATGGCAAGAAAACCTCACAACCGCACATGTGCCCCTCGTAGACTCTCCGATTACACAACATCCACAAACCTCGACATTGCCACTACGCCATGTGACCCCGACAACAACACCTCGACATAAGGCATCAAACACCTTCCAGCCCACAACGGTGACCCAATCCAAGAGGACGGGCCGAGAGACTGAAGATCATCCATCAAGTAGCCAGAAACGCCTTGCCTATGGCACCACTCTTGCCTTTTCCCACCTTCTTTTGTTTGCCTCTTATTGGCGTCCCCGTCAGAAGGCAAGCTATCGACCTACCCAAACCAGGTTTAGCAACCTCCACACTGGCGAGCAAGTCACAAAGTTTTTTCGCGAACAGAGCATCTGGATTTGGAGTAGGTGCAACCACACTTGGCTCAGTGGACATGTCACTCACAGGCATCACATGCTCGACGGTCGCAGGCAATGGAATGGCAGAGACTGCAACGTCCAAATCACCACACCCCTTGGCATCAGGTATCTGGCTAGACTCCAGGGGTGATGATGGCGGTAAAGCCACAATCA